TTATGGCAGCTGAACTTATGGCAATCCTAATAAAAAATTCCCCAGAAATTGATGGTATCAACATTTTAGAGAGAGATTTTTTAATCAGTCAATTTGCTGATGACACAGCTATTTTTCTTAAAAACAAAACCATGGTCCAACCTGCAATTGAGAAAATATGCCTTTTTTCTAAAGCATCTGGCTTATCACTGAACATAAAAACATGTGAAATTCTGCCTATTCATACTTGTGATTTAAATAGTATTGAAAATATCCCAGTTAAACACGAAGTGAAATATCTTGGATTGATAATGTCTAAAAACCTTTCTGACAGAGAAAATGCTAATATAACACCTAAACTAAATTCTGTACAGAAAGTTTTAAATCACTGGCTGACTCGTGACTTATCAATTTTAGGCCGTATACTACTTTCTAAGTCTGAGGGTATATCAAGACTCATATATCCATGTAACTCCATGTTTACATCCCCAAAGGTTATAAAAGCGTCTAACTCAATTTTATTTAAATTTATTTGGAAAAATAAAACCCACTATATTCGCAAATCTCAACTAGTAAAAGAACATGAAAATGGAGGATTAAAAGCTCTAGATTTTGAAGCTTGAATTACTTAATTACTTCATTTAGAGTTAAATGGTTAAGAGAATGTCTGACTCAATCTCAATCTATTTGGTATCATATTCCCAATAAACTATTCAGTCGGGTCGGAGGGCTGACATTTCTATTAAAGTGTGACTTTGAAGTGTCCAAAATACCAATTAAATTATCAGCTTTTCATAGGCAAGCTCTACAATTTGGGAAATTGCTTTTTACTCACAATTTCTTACCGCATAAAGCTGTGGTATTGAACAATAGAGTGATAACTGTCAACAAGAAATCTTTATTCAAATCTGACTGGTATGAGAGTGGGGTGTGCTTCATATATGACTTGTTGAATACAGATGGATCTTTTTTATCACTTGAAAGATTTAACAAAAAATATAAGTTGAAAGTTTCCACTAATAGTTACACTAAAGTATGTCAAGCTATTCCCACCCCTCTTCTCAGACTGATCCCAAATTATTCAGAGTCTACCTCTGTCATTACGTGCTTGCCCTCTCTAACAATTAACCAAATTAATCTACAAGATAGGAAATGTAATAACAAATTCATTGCCCATGCTTTCAATCAGAAACATTTCTGCAACTTTAATACTAATATAAGATATGATTTAGAAAGCTCATTTAGGAAAAAACCATTCACCTTTTATTTGTCATACCCACTAGCACCAAAAATGAAAGAAACACATTTTAAGATTATATCAGGCATTTATCCTGTAGGGGATTTCATACACCGGCGGTTTAACTTTGATGCTGAACCATGCTCTTTTTGTTCCAATGATAACGAGACTATTGAACATCTATTTTTTTCTTGTATGTTTTCAAAGATTTTTTGGACTGACTGTCACAACTGGATAGTTCTAAATATCCCCAATGTGCCTCAATTCACTCTGGAAGATGTCATTTATTTCATGGACAACTTGGACCGTAATATATCTGATGTTGTTAATTTGATTATTGTAATGGGGAAATACTTCATACACACATGTAAATGGCAAGACGCCAAACCCATTTTTTCTGTTTTTCTCAATTTTTTTGTTGAATATTTTAAGTCCTTGCATCTTGTCTCTAAAAATAATAGAAAAGCTTTACTAATTTATGAAAAAATGCGAAAATCTCTACTTTTTTAAAATGCCTTTCCCGCTTGTGCAATTTCTGTTTGAAAACAAACTGTTCTGTATACACTTCTCCATTTTTCTGAAACAATTATTTAATTGTATGTACCCTGACTTGTAATGTAAATGCTTTATGACAGTAAAAAAAAACAAAAAAAAAAAACTTTCTGTCCTACGGCCCCTTGTCACGCCCCCTTTTGGTCACGTGGTTGCAAACGTAAACTGGGCGTGTCGTGAACTTTTTTTTATTTTTTATTTTTATTATTATTATTTTCAATTTACAACAAACGTCAAAGACGAGACATCTGAAAATATAGAGCTCATATCAAAATAACAAAATACAGTATATGAAATAAAATTACATTAATAATCCAAAAAAAGTTCATTTAGTTCGTGTCAGGGGGTTTCATTAAAGAAGTCTTTGTAACAGTCTTGGAGTCGTTGGCTTTTCTTGTTCATTACATACAGCAGTGAGTTCATAACATTTTTTACATCACTTAAAAATAGAGGAAAATACAGCGGTGATTTCAAAAATTTTTGCTTGTGAATAAAACATTTACCAAACAGAATGAAAAAATTAACTACATAGTTAAATGACTTTGTGGTTGTGTTATCTTCAAAATAACAGATAAGATCTTAGAGTGTAAAACAATGACTCGTTGGACAATTTTGGAAAATATAATTATTCAATTCAGCCCAAAATGTTTGAACAATGTTACAATAGAAAAACAAGTGCTCGAGAGTTTCTTCCTGTGTTTGACAGAATGTACAGTTTTTATCAACATCTGCAAACCTTGAGACGACCGAGTTGACAGGGTAGATTTTATGAACAATCTTAAAATGAACTTCCTTCATTTTGTTTGTTATACAGTATTTATATGGCAATAGCCAGGTTTTCTTCCAGTCTATTTCCTCTATTAAGGAGTTCCAGAAACATTTACACCTAGGAGTGATTTTGTTATGACTTTGAAACATTTGGCGGATATGGTGATTATTACATTTTCTATCAAGTAAATTAATTCCATTTAAGGTGAGCACAATAGAGCTATCACCAATATCGTTGATTTTGGGTTAGGGTTATAGTAGAATAGTTGTATTCTCTGAAGGGGAGAGGGAATTCATACTTCACCATAAATTGTTCATATGGTAAAAAAGATCCTTGTTCATCCAATAGAGACACAATCGTGTTAATATTTTTTTGGAACCATTTGGGAAAAAACAAAGACCGATTTCTTATTGTAACATGTTTGTTGTTCCACAAGGAATATTTATGTGGAGAGAAATTATGATTGAAGCACTGTTTCCAAGCAAGAAGACATTGCTGGTGGAAATTAGCTAATGACACAGGAAGTTTTGTAGGTGTGTAATTACATGTTAAAAGAAAAGGTAGTCCACCAACTGACTCAAAAATATGATTGGGAATAAAGTACCAGATAGACTCTAAATTTGCAAGACACCTTTTTAGCCAGTTAATTCGGAATGTATTTGGGCTTGTTCACACTAAAGGGCACAAAAGTGTGACAAAAGGCCAAAAATTAGATTTTAATAATAATAAGATATTTTATGTTTTTCATGTTTCCAAACACCTCCTCTGTCCATTAGAAGTTGCTAGAACATAACTGTTTTATACATTAGACAAGTTTCCTATAGCGGCCCTGTTTATTTTATCTAACGGACGTGATGATTTGACGGAATGAGCTTTGCGGAAGTTTGATAGGTATTTTCAGATGTCCACAATTGATTCAGAGATTCTATTTTTTTACACAGAGTAGAAACAAAGTGATACTTTCATTTAGTCAACCAATTAAATGTGAAACCAGACAAGATTTTTTTATTTCTCAAGTTAAAATTTTAGAGAAAAGAAGACCGTCCTCATCACGTCCGTTATACATTTTTCAAGGGTCATTTAATTAATTTATTATTTTTTAACGATTCCTTTTCATATCAAGTGATTTCCTGATGTTGTGTTAACCATGTAAATATTGTGGGATTTCATCTGCCGCTTTTTCAGACTGAGGACATTTTATTTTCTATGTAACTGGCGTCACAGTAGAATGGTCAAAAAAGAGGCTGATTTTGTCGTTTAAAATGTCACCAAAAATATATTTGACAATCTTTCCTTTTGATTTTATCCACACTATCTCTTTGATGTGTCTGTGTTTGAAATCTTTTTTCCAATCTATGATAGTAATTTTAGTTTTTAAGTTATAACCTTTTAAAGTCGAGATACTTCAATTGACACTTAACTGTGAACACACTCATTTACAGTGTCGGAAAACTAAAACTTCGAGCCCTCCTTCCACTTTTGCATTCGAGAGTACAGCCTTTTTGAGCTTATGAGGTTTGTTTTTCCAAATGAAATAAAAAAAAAGTGTGTTAATTTCTTTGGATATGCGTTCATCTACATATAGTGACAGTAGAGGATAAACAAAGCGAGACAGACCCTCTGCCTTAGACAGAAGAACTCTACCATACAAGGTTAAGTCTCTCTGAAGCCAGAGGTTAAAGATACTTTTGGTTTTAACAGTTCTATGATGGAAATTTAAATGTTGTCTAGTTGCCTTGTTTTTTGTAATTTGAATACCCAAATATTTAACAGACTGTTTGATTGGAATATTCTCTAGAAATAGATCTTCACAACTATGAATTGGCAACAGCTCACATTTGGATACATTGAGTTTCAAGCCTGAGGCCTTAGTGAATTCTTCAATTAATGAAATTGCCTTCTGCATTATGGAGCTATTATTGTTTCAATAATATTTGTGTGTGCGTAAAAAGATTTGTGTGTGCGTACCCAGATTTGTGTGTGCGTAACCAGATTTGTGCGTGCGTAACCAGATTTGTGTGTGTGTAAAAAATATTTGTGCGTGTGTAAATAGATTTGTATGTACGTATCAAGATTTGTGTGTGCTTAAAAAGATTTGTGTGTGCGTAAAAAGATTTGTGTGTGCGTAGAAAGATTTGTGTGTGTGTAAAGAAAAAAAAAAGTACGTTTTACACACAAGTTTTTTTTTTACACACGAATCTTTTGACGCAGTCCTGCCTTCGCAGATTCGCAAGTGTAACTTGGACTGTGTGCGTGCGTAAACAGATTTGTGTGTGTGTAATTTGACATTTGTATCTGTAGCAGAACAATCTGTGTGTAAATAACCGGGTTGTACAAAGAGAAGAACGGGAAAAAGCCTAAGTGCTACGTCACAGGCTCTGTTTTACACACGAATCTCTTTTTGACACACCTCTGCCGCCAAGCGTGTCTTCATTCTCCCGTATTTGTCTTACAGCTCCCTCCATGCCGGCCTATGACCAGGAGACCTCTCTGAACCAGACAGACACTACGGTTACTGTGCTGCTGAAGCCGGCCCAGAGCAGAGGTGCACCTGTGAGGTACGTCTGGCATGGAAATAAGTACAGCCGACTAAGCACAACTAAAGTGCAAACACTGCAATTCCTTGGCATATCTTTGAAGTAGAACTAAGTAACTTCATTTAAAAAGTTTGAGAGCCTATGGTTGAATGTTTTAGGAAAAATACCAATTTTGTTTCCATTGGCTTTGACCAATGTGGTGCTGAAGCCGGTTTGGTTTTTGTTTAGTGTAAGTTGAGGTTTACTTTGAGAGAACCCCGAGTTTTCGGTGGTTGAACAGAATTTAAGTCCAGTTGCGTGTCTGTCAACTACTGACAGACACGCAACTGAAACTAAATTCCACACACACCTCATCAGCGGCATCTCCATTACTGCAGGGAACTTTTGGACTTCATTAATATTTGTTTTCATGTTCTTTTTGCACTTTTTTGCACCTGAGTTGGTCATAAATCATATGTGTTTAACGGACATGGATACACTTTATGTATTCATACAATCTGTGATCTTCTGTCACCTTCCTGCAAGCCCTTTGCCTGCTGCAATAGTGCTGTACTTTGCAATACATTAATATTTTTCCATTATTATTTGTTTCCCATTATTGTTTGTTTCTACTGGCAACATGTTTTATCCATGATTGTGATTGGTTGTTTTTATGTGATGACGCACGATCATGACGCCTAATCATCTGAACCCGCTATAACTTCAATGGGTTAACCCGAAGTTACCCAGTATGGATTTCTCTGTTTGTTAAACTCATCTTACCCTACTACTCCGAGTTTACCAACACTGCATGCAGAAATAGGACTCTGATGAATGAAGGTTTGGGTAACTCAAAAAACACCTGATGAAAGTATTAATGTTGCTTGCAAGCATGTTGACTCCTGCCCTTAAACAGTTTTGTAAAGCAACATCAGCAACAAACTGTATCAAAGCCGTATTTATCTGAGCTCCACGAAGAGAAACTTGTCAGAGAATTGTCTACCTTCTTCTCTGCGTGCACCTCATTTTGCGAGTGTTATTTGTTTGTGGATTTTGATCCTGAGAAAAGGGAAGCTTGCCCTTTGAAGATGAGAACAAAGCGCTGCAGACCAGGCGAGCTCCAGGATCTTGTTCCTCTACATATCTTTTATGTGCACAGCTGGTCAAAGCTGAACCTCCGCACACACAGTGGGAGCCAGGGATTGTTACATTCGAAACTAAATTAGTGTTTGTTGTAGAGACAATATCGAGTCACCAAAATGGTGACATTGCTTGGTCCCAAACCTGAATTGGACGACCTCCTCTTTATTTTGTTGATGGATCTATCAAGTCACTCAATACCATGCCATGCACAGAATAACTGTGCCAGACAAAACCCAAAATGAAGCCATGGGAGGAGATAAAGGCAACATTTCCCTTTTTTTTTTTTAAAGGACTAGGCAATTATGCTGTTTTAGAATGTGAAATATGTTCTTAAATAGAACATATGGACTTTGAAGCACTTTGTGTCTCAGCATGTGAAAGGTGCTATATAGATAAAAACACACGCTTATTTAAACATGAATCAAGGATAACGTTATCTCAGCATGTAACACCCCAGTTCTAGCACCAGTACTAGGTATTTTTTAACATACAATTACCCCCGCACTGTTACCATAATTTCATTTGAGAAATGACCAAAACAAATGTAGAGACAGCATACATGTTTTTAAAAGGTTGAAAACAGCTTTGGACATTATTGTATGACGTAAGGATTCATCACATCACACCAAGGTCAAGAAACATGGCAAGGTTATTTGTATATCACAACTCTTAGGCAGGCAATTCAAAGTGCTTTAAAAAACAAAAGCAGAAATATTGATATAATTACACAAGTAAAAGCATAGTCAATTGTTCTACCGAATATGTAATACAGATTGCAACTGCTTTGTAATTTTTAAAGCTTGGATTCCTAACTTTTGAAGGACAACAATTGAACTACATAATGAGATCCATGAGTTTTTGCTCTTAAAACAGAAAAACCCTGGATCTTCTTGCTGTTAGGCTACAGCACGGTCGGCTGTGGGTCGTACAGGTTGGGTCTCACAATACAGTTGAGACTTTCAAACCACAAACCACTGTCTTTTGGGCCTCTGTCACATCTTTGGATCATCTTTTTCCAACACAAACGCAAAAAAATCACTCTCAATCAACCAATCATCTATCAACCTTAAAGAGTCCAATAGTGGCTCACAGTCCGCAAAATATAACATGTTATCTTAACTTTTTGTTGGGTTGTGCCGCACATTCTCACAATTAATTTTAAATTTCCTTACCAGCGCTTTTTTGTGTGTAATCCATGTAAAGCGCTCTCATATAGCCAATAGTCATTCACCATTCATACACCTTGCTAACTCAACAGAATAATCATTTGTTGCGGGCATATTTTCAACTGTAGGTCTAATTACCAACATCTCTCGTCCACATTTCTGCCTGAAGCATTCTGTTTGAGCAGCTCATTGATTTCTTTTTTATCTTTAGCGCTCAGCTTAGACACTATGTGCTCCGGGTTGAGTGGGATCAGCCTCTTTGATATTTGCGCTTTGTTCTTTGTATGTACATGTCTGCGCATTGTAAAAACCCAACTACAGTCTTCTTTGCTTTTCCTATACAACTTAAGGGCGTCATGTTTTTTGTTTTTTTCTTTTTTGTTTCCCTCTCAACATCAGTCACGATAAACACTTGGGCCGCCTTGTGAAGCTCAATTTCACAGGCTCTCCTCAACAGTGTCCCTCACAGATTATCCGCGGTCAGGCCTGTCAGATTGGCTTCCCCCCGCGCACGCCGATGCTGTCCCACGATTGTCTGCGCTCGCAATGAGACGGACGTGCGGATGTAGGCTGTAGTTTATGCTCGCAGGTACAATCTCGCCACCTGCCATTCAGCAGCGCGGACAATTACTACAGCCTCTAATTATAATTAAGAGGCTGGGGTGAGTTAAGTGGCGCGCTGGGAAGGAGGGAAGCTTTGTTTAGCCGTAACACAAAATGCCCTCCAGTGTGGAATGAGCAGGGGTAATTGTCCAGCGCATAAACTCAAGGCTGTTAGTTTTTCCTCTTAGTAGTTTGTGATCATTTTGGTTGATAACGATAAAAAAAAGGGATATGATGGCATGTTCTGCTTTGTTTTGTTATAGTAATACAAGAGAAACGTAAAGAGAACGTTGGACTTTGAAACATGGATTTTATTCTACTTGAAGTTATATTTGCAGCATTAAAGGAACAATATGTAAAAATCTGGCCAAAAGTGGTACTGCAGTCACAATCAATATTTTGTAGTCCTCTACCACACCCCCTGACTCAGGTTGCCAGATACACACCAAATCCAGCAGCAATCACAGGGTATTATTTTATCAGTTGTTTGTCTGTCTCCATTCACATTGCCATGAGGCGTGCTAATGTTGAATGAATGTTATTTTTATTTATTTTTATTTGGACATTTGAGATAAAAAACACAAAACAAAACAAAAGCAATGTAATTATAGATAATCCAAAATAAATAAGTAATTGATGTCCAAAATAGGAGTGGGAAGAATGAATGTTGGAACGTTTTTCTTCAGCGTATCAACATCAGGGTTTGCTCCAGAGGATATCACCTTTCAATTTTGTTTATTCCCTATTTTTTAGACAAACATGCCCTTAGCTTATGTTATTTCAGTTGTAAATGGTTTGCAACAAAAGGCTGCACTAGTAGAGAAAACCCCAAAAGTCGTGAGGGGGTCTGAACAGCCTGCATGCCATAGACTGTATAGTAAGAGAGGCCGATTTGAACATAATCTCGCTGGAGCCAATTTCCTTATACAGGCATTTCTTCTGGTGTTAGCTTTGCACCGCACAAGGGGAAGCTAGACAAACTGCCCGTTGGGGTTTCGCCTGTGAATTAAGGCCTCTGATTGGTCAATCCTTACATGGCATATATCTGGATTTACATAAACAATATCAAAATATAATTCATTAAGTGGGTTAATATTGTCCAATTATATACAGCTGCATGCGCTCATTGTGTTGTTGTGATAAATGGTTATGGAAACATTCTGCAACAATGTGCATCTACAGTATGATTGGGCACAGAAAAATTACATTACCCATATTTCTTGTTACTTTGATTTACGTGATTTATCAGTAATTTATTCTATTCAATTAGCTGCTTAATCAGAATCAGAATCAGAATCATTTGTATTGCCACGTAAGTAACAGGAGGTCACAGACTTGGAAATTGCTTTGGCTCAGTGCAACAGTCAAAAAGAGATAATAAAAATAAGAATAAAAAACACTTCTAAAGAATAAATTTAAATTTAAAATTGAGTTACAGTTACTATTTACAATATACAAGTGCACATGGTGCACACAATGTAAGGTGACAGCAGTACAGTGAAGTAAAGTGACATATGATGGGCAGTAAAGTGACTTTATAAAGGGCGGGGGGACAGGTTAAGAAGTGTTCAAGAGTCCAACAGCAGAGGGGAAGAAACTGTTCTTGTGGCGGGAGGTTCTAGTCCTGATGGACCGCGGCCTCCTGCCTGAGGGCAGTGGTTGGAATAGTCCATGTGCAGGGTGAGAGGGGTCGGCTGTGATACGACCAGCCCGGCCTCGAGCTCGGGCGACGTACAGGTCCTGCAGCGATGGAAGGCTGCGGCCGATCACTTCCTCTGCAGAGCGCACAATGCGCTGTAGTCTCTGTTTGTCCCTGACTGTGGCTCCAGCGAACCACACGGTGACGGAGGAGGTGAGGATGGACTCGATGATGGCCGTGTAGAACTGCACCAACATCTGTGCAGGCAGCTTGGCTTTCCTGAGCTGCCGCAGGAAGTACATCCTCTGCTGGGCCTTCTTGATGAGGGAGCTGATGGTCGGCTCCCACTTGAGGTCCTGGGTGATGGTGGTGCCCAGGAAACGGAAGGACTCCACAGAGGTGATGGGGGAGTCCATCACGGAGGGTGGGGGCGGGGGGACAGTGCTCTTCCTGAAGTCCACAATCATCTCCACTGTCTTCTGGGCGTTCAGCTCCAGGTTGTTACCACTGCACCAGGACACCAGCCGGTCCACCTCCCTCCTGTAGGCGGACTCATCGTTGTTGGAGATGAGTCCAATGAGGGTGGTGTCGTCCGCGAACTTGATCAGCTTCACGGAGTCGTGGCTGGAGGTGCAGTGGTTGGTGTACAGGGAGAAGAGCAGGGGAGAAAGAACACAGCCCTGTGGGGCTCCTGTGTTTATAATCCGAGAGTCTGAGACATTCTTCCCCAGATGCACTCGCTGCTTCCTGTCCGTCAGGAAGTCAGTGATCCACCTGCAGGTGGAATCGGGCACGTTGAGCTGGGAGAGCTTGTCCTGGAGCAGGGATGGCAGGATTGTGTTGAAGGCAGAGCTGAAGTCCACGAACAGGACCCTGGCGTAGGTCCCCGGGGAGTCCAGGTGCTGTAAGATGTGGTGGAGGGCCAGGTTAATGGCGTCGTCTACAGATCTGTTGGCTCTGTAGGCGAACTGCAGGGGGTCCAGGAGGGGGGAGGTGAGGGACTTGAGATGGGAGAGAACCAGGCGTTCAAATGACTTCATGACGACAGACGTAAGTGCTACAGGTCTGTAGTCATTGAGTCCTGTGATCCTGGGCTTCTTTGGGACGGGGACAATGATGGAGGATTTGAAGCAGGCCGGGACATGGCAGGACTGCAGAGAGGTGTTGAAAATGTCCGTGAACACAGGAGTAAGCTCACTGGCGCAGTGTCTCAGAGTGGCCGGAGACACGTGGTCCGGGCCAGGAGCTTTGCGGGGGTGCAGCCTCAAGAAGAGTTGTTTAATCTCTTTAGCGGCTATTGTTAGGCTGGGGGCAGGGCTGATGGGTGGGTTGTTAGAGTAGTGGGGGGTGGGGGAGGGAGAGGTGTCAGGGGCAGCATCAAAGCGACTGAAAAATAAGTTCAGTTCGTCAGCTAGCTTGTGGTCGTCAGCACAGGGGGGGGCTTTGGGTTTGTAGTTGGTGATCTCCCGTAGGCCCCTCCAGACAGAAGCAGTATCGTTGTTACCAAACTGCTCCTGTAGTCGTTCTCTGTGCCGGGACTTGGCTGCTTTCAGTTCTTTCCTGAACTGATATTTAGCTGCTTTGTAGCCGCTGCGGTCCCCCTCCCTGAAAGCAGACTCCTTTGCTTTCCTGAGCTGCCGGAGTTTAGCAGTGAACCAGGGTTTGTCATTGTTATAGATGACCCTGGTCCTTGTTGGAATGATGCTATCCTCACAGAAGTGAATGTATGACGTCACAGTGTCCGTGTATTCATCCAAACTATCTGTGGCAGCTCTGAAAAGGTCCCAGTCTGTAGATTCCATGCATGCGCGCAGCTCTTCCACAGCTTCATCAGACCACACTTTGGAGCCCCTCACTGCAGGTTTCGAGAGCTTTAGTCTCTGTCTGTAAGCAGGAACCAGATGTATCATGGAGTGATCTGAGAAGCCGAGGGCTGGCTTGGGAACAGCGCGAAAAGCTCCGCGCACGGTGGTGTAACAGTCATCCAGAGTGTTCTCCTCTCTGGTCGGGCATTTGATAAACTGTCTGTATTTGGGTAATTCCTGGCTCAAGTTTCCCTTATTAAAATCCCCCAGGATAATAATCAGAGAGTCCGGGTATAAGCGTTCCATACACAGTACTTGCTCTGCGAGTGCGCGCTGAGCCTCGCGCGCGTCCGCGCATGGCGGTATGTAAACAGAGGCAAGAATGAATGAAACAATTTCGCGAGGGGAGTAAAATGGTTTACAATGGATGAAAAGATATTCCAGAGCAGGAGAGCAGTGCTTGGAGATCACTGTAGCCTGGTTCACATCGTTACACCAGTTTGTATTGACTTAAGGTAAACGCTCCGATTTCCGTAACAAAATCTTACAGATTATCCTGCCGTGTGTGGTGTGTTAAGACTGCACTCGTCGCTCGGAAGGACATCGATCTCAAATTGGGGATATCCAACATGTTGGATTGTTTTGGCCCGATTTCTCTTCGTGTGTGGTGTCCCCCGAGGACAGACGTGCGCGTTGCCATGACTGCGGCGTGTAGCCAATCAGAAGACGAGACGAGGCGGTGAGGAAACGCCTCCATATCACGATGTAGCAAGTATAGTCCATGCTCGTATTGTCTACACTTCTTTGACCATCGCCTTTTCTTTTGATTACGTCTTTTCTCCAATAAAAACAAACAATCGCCATGTCCGCCATGTGTGTTTACTCTGAAGTCACGCTTGATCTCGCGAGACCTGAGATTTCCGTCTGATCTGTGAATACTCGGGGGGGGAATCGGTTCGTGTGTGGTTTGCGTGATTTTTGCCGTGTGGCTGCGCACCACACACTGTACGACCAAAGTGGTTAGACCCGTGATTTTTTATCTCCCTGTGTGGGGTCTCACACAGAGAAAAATCGGCCGACAATTTTAAAATCGTCTCGTGTGAACCAGGCTTAAGCTGTTCTGGGCTCTAGACCAGAGGACGGGTCCAATAAAAAATGCCATCAAACTACGTAATAAGTTACACAACACTGTGTTTACTTTGGGAATTCGCACATGCTCAGCTACAAAAATAATTGAATTTAAGCGCTGCTTTTAAAAGCACCATGATTTCTTTGATGGCACAGCTAGAATATACTGAAATACACTATAAATCATGGAATCATTTTTATTATTCAAACAAGAAAGTTTGTTTAACAATATGATGATTATCAATAATGCAAGGGTTTTATTTTTTGGACACTCAAAGATGCTTCACATGTCATTATTCATTCACTCCATACCCTGTGGTGATAAACAACTGTAGCCACAGCTGCCCTAGAGCACACTGACAGAAGCGAGGCAAC